GATGGTCTTATTAGTGACTTGAACACAGATGTCCAGTATTACCAGCAGAGCATTTTCATATGAGGACCCTCTACTTTCCATTGTGTTCCCACTGATAGTCCATCAGAGCCCAAGTCTTATGGTCTTCATGGCAAAGTGGTTTTTGGGGTCTGATATGGCTTTTAATTAATTTGTGTGACTTTACTTATTGAAGGCAGAGGATTTGTTTGAGTAGGTCTGGGGCAATGATGTGTTGTCATGAGTCTCCCAATTAAAACAATTTTTTAAATGTAAACTATATTGTACTTAGGCTCTGAGCACGATACAAAACTATTATAAACCAGGATTTTTCTTATGTAGGGAGTATATCTCAGTACTAACTAGTACAGGGCATGTGTATACATACACACACGAACATACACACACACATGCATGTTATATGTAGCATTCCTGCATATACACTAGGTAACAAGTCAGTAAAGAAATGAATACTTTTTTAACTGGCTTAGGATTCCTCACAAAATTCACATTTGTCAGGAGACTCCATCTAAGGGTGAGTATGTGCATGTGTGTGAACAGTACATGAATCTTTCATCCCCTAACTACTGGGGCAGAGGTCAACTGGGTGGGTCAGATTTGTCTGAACCAAACCTGAATGAGTTCTCTACCAAAATTCACATGAGCACCACCTTTTAAGACTTTTTCCTGAAGAAACATTTATGTATCTCCCCTTCTCCATATCTTTTTTGGGAAGGTGTTTATTTCTTGTGTTTCTTCATACATATGTCCCTCCCCGGGCCTAATATACAGATCCTAATTGTCCTTGGAGATGATAAAGTGAATTGGTCTCTCACTAGCTTTTACCTGCCATGAGATATGCTTGGAAATGAGAAAACAAGCTCAGACACCTACATATATGGAGTTTTATGGAGTTGTGGTAGAGAAAGATGCACTAGATAACTTGCAATTTTCCCTTCCATGTACAAGGGCTTTAAGGAATTTCTTCTGGCCCTGGCCAACAAAGCCTGATTTGATTTTATTTCAATTTATATATATATTTGTGTGTGTGTGTGTGTGTGTGTGTGTGTGTGTGTGTGTGTGTGAAATTCTATTGAATTCAAAATTCTCAGAGATAATCCCATAAAACAACAAAGGACCAGTTTGTTCACTCAGTGATGGATTTAAGACAAGGACTATGACATTTGTGGGCAACAGAAAACCATTTTTGCTAAGACATCTATACTGACTTGTATTTTTGGATTATAAAGAGTAAACTATCGTCCTTTGGGGTGGAAAAGTGACCGCAACTGCAAAATAATGCCCTCAGCCGCTGTTGGCTAATTTTTGAATCTGTGGGACAATATTTTCCCACTCCAATCCTTAAATCTTTAGTCTCTAATTCTCCAAGTCCATAAATCACCAATCACTATTGAATCTCCTTGTAGACACTTCAGTTTCTGTTGCAGTCATGATTAAGGTTTAAAACAGCAATTTCCACTACATTCCAACACCCGATCATTCATCAATCTCAAGTTCTGAAAGAGTGTGCATGTATAGTCTTACTAGGCAAATATAATGCCGCTGCAACCTCATCTCTGAGTTCTTCTCTTCTCTCCTTTAACTAAAATAGTAGAGGTGACCAACGTTCACAAGAGGAAACAATACTACCAATGAGGAGCAGGGTCCAGGCAGATCAACTGAACAAAAGGGCTACAATCAGACATTGACATGTTCTATGATAGGAAATAAAAACACACTGGGCTTGAGCCACGGAGGGAGTGGAGGGTGTGGTAGGATATGACAATCTATTGCCAGTTCCCCAGGGCAAAAAGAAGAGCATTTCAGCCAAGCCTCCCTGGACATGTGGCTACTTAAAGTTTCCAGTTTCTTTCAGAAAAGACAACTAAGAAGCTCCCTGGAGTCTGGGGCCCTTAGAGGGTGATTGGGTAGCAGAGGATGAGGGAGGGAGAGTTTAAGGTGCTCACACCAAAGCCATGTGACCAATGCAAAAGGAATCAGGAAAAAACAATTTTTTTTATAATAAATAACCATCCAAGCTGCATTAGTGTTCCAGATATGTATGCATCACACACCCCTCTCAACCACAAACCAACAAGAATGGGAAGTTAAAAATCATCCAGACAACTGATGGCACAGTCCCTTTGAACTGTGGAGAGAGGTTTTGATGCTGATTTAAGGCCCACATTCTTTGTATTTCCTAGATAAATGCACAGGACCCACTCCCCAGTCTCAGATCCATCAGAAAACAGAGGATACAGTGGAGAGGATATCATCCAAATGCTCTTTAACAAAAAGGCTCTTGGTAAATTTTACTTTTACGAGTGTCTGGAGGTGACTGGGAATTTTCAGACCCAAGTGCAAGCATTGTAGCTGCAGCATTTCCTGCCCTCTTACTTGGCTGACTACAAGTCCCATGGGACTGATATTTCCTTTGGTAGAAACTATAGTCAATGCTATGGCCTCTAGACCAACACAGTGGGTAACCAGCATCTCCTCTTCCACTTCTCCCTCCCTGAATCATACCCATCTATACCTTTTACTGCTCCAAAGCTGTTACACTATGGGCAATTTATATTCTATATTATTCATAGCCCTAAAATCTTCTGCACAGAAGATTTATATTTATTTAACTGGTAGGGTGGAGGAGTGGGGGACCACTTGGATTAGTAATCACCTGACATTGCCATTCTATTTACACTCCAAACAAACAAACAAACAAACAAAAAAACTATTTAAAAAAAATCAAGTTAAGAGTCTGCCCCAAGGATATACAAATTATCAATCCCCCCAAAAAAGATTAAAACAAGCAGCAACTTTTATATAAAATTAATAAAAAACAAGACAAATGAAAAAGAAATTGTCAGTAGCATCTATCGCCTCTCTGCGTCTGAACTGCACTTATACAAACTAGTCCATTAGTACAGCAGCTTGCTAGAAATTGACTTTGGTTCAAGCTTAGTTTTAAAAAACAAAAACAAACAAAAAAAAAAATCAAAGAACACATTAAAAATGGTGGACGGACATTTGTTAGTTTCCCTGCTTGCAGTTCACTAGTTTTGAAATCTTATGGATAATTATTTTAAATAATCTGTGAAACAGGAAGGTGGAGAGAGAGTCAGACGTGAACAGAGAAAAACATGAGGGGAAGAAGAGATAAGAGTTTCTGCCATTTGAGTATAAATGTAAATCCCACACACTTGGGTCACAGACCAAAATGTATGTTGGGTTTAAGTTGCTGTCTTATTGATCTCTGGTGGTGAGAGATTCCAAGATCTCCCTTGATGATCAGCAAAAGCGAACATAACTGCATAAACTTGCTATCTTGAAACTCCCTGGTGACACCCCCTCGTCCCCCTCCAAAAAACCAAAACCAAACCCAGAGGGGGCACTTGTGACACCCTCCCTAGCTGAGTTCAAATGTGTTTTAAAAACATGGCAGAAACTTTTAAATCCAACAGGAATGAAAAGTTCAAAGTGAACTGCATTGCAGCGATCCAGTCTTCTCTTTAGAAATCTTTTTGGTTCAGATACTCGATTGGTATATTAAAGAATATACATCACTAACCTCTGGAAACCCACTATTCTTCCTCATCCATTCTCATAAGCTCTCTGTTCTCAAATGCTCCTTGCTATGTGGATTGGAAACAACCCTGGAAACACAGCTACGTCAGCAAGCCAACACTGAGTCTTTAGTCAGAGATGCTTATTGCCATTTTGATCAAGGTAGCAACATCACTCCTCAGAGACCACACGAGAACACCAAGATGTGTGCAAAGTCCCAGTGTTGACTAGATTGGTGCTATTTCCCACATCAGGCTGGACAATTCCAGCTGATTGGTCACTGTCTCCTATTTCCAAAGCACCAAGCAGGGTGGTAGAGAAAAAACCCTACAAGCTATTTAAAACAGAACAAAGGCGCAAAGAAGTCAAGAGTGCTTTCTTATGGTTGTGTTGGCATGAAATTGGCAGCAACTTCTGTTCCAATAGACCTGACATCTATCCCTGTAGATAGAAGCACTTGACAGTGGAAAACTGTTCCAATGCAGCTCCCTGTACACAACAAAAAACATGCAAAGAAATATTCCTTTGATTAGAGAAGCCAGTTTCACCTCTCAAAATCCTGTGCCAAGTTAGTTGGTAGGAAGCTTGGACTGTGGATGCCTTTAGATATTAGTGATATTGGCATCCTCAGGTAACTTTGCATTTCTAGGATTTTTTTTTTTTAAAGGGGCAAAATCCTAACAATACAGTAGAACCACCAAAACAGGTGTCTGAAATAGTCTGGGCTCTAAGTGCCAAATCCTGCTCTCTGAAGTCAATATGAGCAATGCACATGCAACTTAGAGCAAAATTTGGCCCTTTAGCCTAAGTAGCTGGGTGAAGGAGAGCTGCAGTATAGAAGTTATCTCTACCTCCCTCACCATAAAAGCACAGACTAGCCTGGAGGTTTGCACACAACTTGCTGCCTCTATACCGAGATTCCTGCAAAAGTGGTGAAAATAATCTCTCTTGATACCTCTGTACAAGTCACTGTAAAACAAGTTCAAGGATGAGGAAACTGAGGAACGCTCCCAGGAGATTAGGACAGGAAGCCTCCTTATGTTCCCCTCTCTCTCCCCCCCCTCCTCATGGTGTGGGAGCTCACTGAAAACAATCCAGGAGCAAAGACAAATGCGTCCAAACCATATATATAAAAATAATAATAATAATAATAATAATAATAACCATAATAATAAGATACACCAGTAATACAGGCCTGCCTAAATTGTACCAGTTAAGAAAGGAACCCCCAACACGATTGATACGATTATAAACACCTTGTATGACATAACGGCCTGTACAACAGAACTATAAAATATTAATTAAAAAAAAAAAAAAAAAGATATTTAGACCAAAAGAACTAAGAAATCCCCTTCCTATGTTTGAGTTGATAACCCACCTTAACTTGTCATTGTGACTGCTGGAAATGATAAGTAGTCCTTTCACTTTTTTTTTTTGTTTTTTTTTTTGTTTTTTGTTTTTTTACATTTTTGGTTAGAAAGCTCTCCGATCCATGAAGTGATCCTGAAAAGACAGTGTTTATTATAAAATTAGGCAAATGTCTGTCCCAGCTTTAAATCCTTCCTGTTTTGTTTTTATATTTTCCGTCTCTCTCCCTTGTCCCCAGCAACATGGTGAGAGGAAGCCGATCACATTTTTCAGTTTATAAACCCAGCTGGCAGCCAATCCCACTGCAGAGTGAAACAGGCTGCTGGTAGCACAGCTCAGCCCGGCTCACTGTGCCTTGGAGGCAGTAGTGGTGGTGGAAGTGGCCCCACTGGCAGAGGCCACTGTGAAGAGAGAGTTCTGGATGGACTCAGCTGAGGTGGAGGTGGCATGAAGGCTGGCGACTGGTCCAGAGGCCCCTGCGGAGGCGGCAGCTGCAGAGACCAAGCTAACTGGGTTGCTGGTGAGCAGAGAAAGGTTCTGAGGGTTCAGGAACAACGGGGCAGTGACAATGTTAGGAGTACCTCCAGCATTGGCAAACACCAAGTTCCCAGTTGCATCCAGTGATGTTATTGGAAGAGAGCCACCAGATGCAAGAGCTAAAAAGGGAGAAAAGTGCAGGGAAGAGAACATTAGCATTAACAGCACAAAGGAATGCAGCAAAGTGCAACAGAACTTTAGTTTTCCCTCTTATGAGCATAACCTTCTTCCCATGACTAAAGGTTCCTTCCTCTTGCTTCAACCCAACATAAAAATATTCAGAAATCAGTTGAAAACGGGATTTGGCATTATCGAGGCTGGCAGAACTAAGCACGTAAGAGGGAGGATCCTCTCACTATCCCAAAGAATAGAGAAGGGTCGAAAAGTTTTTTGCTATTCATTTTTACCTATATCTCCCTAACACATTTCTCTATATAAAAGTATTCCAGAGTTTGTTTTAACAAGATATGTCACATAAAAGAAAAGAATAGATGTTATGAAATATTTTAATGCATTATATAGTGTATAATCCTAACTCATTTTCAAACTATCTGCAAAAAACTGCTTTTATCTGCTTCTGAAAAACCAGGATCTGTTCTACAGTAACTGTTTGTTGTCAACCTCACACAGCTAAGTAACTGCGCAAGCATGTGGCATAATTCAACCATGTGGTACCAGATGTTTTTGGAGCATCACTTCACACTACCCAGATCAGCTGCAGTTGGATTTTGGCTGGCAAAGGCTGAGCAGCTGAAGCTAAGCACAAGCTGTTTCTAATTTTTGTAAAAATATAAAAATAAAGTTCCTATCTAGACTAAAAATTAAAGGCATCTCACTGAATACTTTGAAATCTTAAAAATATAAACCCAAGCACGAGTCATCTGATTGTTCTCAGAATTTCCCATCTGAATGTACTCAAAGCATAAGCACAGGGTGAAATGTCTGGCACCAGGGAAACTGCCCTCCACTGTTCTGTCACCCTATAACAGGAGCCAGTACTTATTGAGAGAAAGCTCCCTGAGAGCACTGGATAAGATTTTGCAGAAATTGAAATGGCTCTAAGGGACTGATCCAAAACCAATTGAAACTGAAGGGAGTCTTTCCATTGACTTCAATGTGCTTTGGATCAGGACCTTAGTGGGGACACACTGCTCCATCCTACTGGCCAGAGAAAGGCCTATTCAAGGAACCTAGAAGCGAAAAGGGGTGTAACACGTATTCACACAGAATGGGAGCCACTACAGTATTTCTACATAGAGTGCTTCTGCTGACATGCACGAGCTGAAACTGTGGAAAAGCAACATTACTTGCCCCATAACCTCAGCTATGCAAAACACAATGCAATCCACAGCCTCAGAAACAACTCTGACATCATAACAAAAAAGGCTGACAAAGGGGGTGCTGTAGTCATCATGAATAGGTCAGAATATGAACAAAAGGCTGCTAGACAACTCTGACGCCACATTCTACAGGCCATTACCCTCTGACCCCACTGAGGATTACCAAAAGAAACTACACCACCTGCTCAAGAAACTCCCTAAAGAAGCACAGGAACGAATCTACACTGACACACCCCTAGAGCCCCTACCTGGGGTATTCTATCTGCTACCCAAAATCCATAAACCTGATAACCCTGGACACCCCATCATCTCAGGCATTGGCACCCTGACAGCAGGATTATCTGGCTATGTAGACTCTCTCCTCAGGCCCTACGCTACCAGCACTCCCAGCTATCTTCGAGACATCACTGACTTCCTGAGGAAACTACAATCCATTGGTGATCTTCCAGAAAAAAAATCCTAGCCACTATGGATGTAGAAGCTCTCTACAAGAACACTCCACACAAAGATGGACTACAAGCCATCAGGAACGGCATCCCCGATACCATCACGGCAAACCTGGTGGCTGAACTTTGTGACTTTGTCCTCACCCACAACTATTTCAGATTTGGGGACAATTTATACCTTCAAGCCAGCGGGACTGCTATGGGTACCCGCATGGCCCCACAGTATGCCAACATTTTTATGGCTGACTTAGAACAACGCTTCCTAAGCTCTCGTCCCCTCACGCCCCTACTCTACTTGCGCTACACTGATGACATCTTCATCATCTGGACCCATGGAAAGGAGGCCCTTGAGGAATTCCACCAAGATTTCAACAATTTCCACCCCACCATCAACTTCAGGCTGGACCAGTCCACACAAGAAGTTCACTTCCTAAGCACTACAGTGCTAATAAGCAATGGTCAGATAAACACCACCCTATACCGGAAGCCTACTGACAGCTATAATTACCTACATGCCTCCAGCTTTCATCCAGACCACATCACATGATCCATTGTCTACAGCCAAGCTCTAAGATACAACCACATTTGCTCTGATCCCTCAGACAGAGGCAAAGACCTACAGGATCTCTATCAAGTGTTCTTAAAATTACAATACCCACCTGGTGAAGTGAAGAAACAGACTGACAGAGCCAGAAGGGTACCCAGAACTCACCTACTGCAAGACAGGCCCAACAAAGAAAGTAACAGAACGCCACTAGCCGTCACCTACAGCCCCCAACTAAAATCTCTCCAGCGCATCATCAAGGATCTACAACCTATCCTCAAGGACGATCCCTCACTCTCATAGACCTTGGGAGACAGGCCAGTCCTCGCTTACAGACAGCCCCCCAACCTGAAGCAAATACTCACCAGCAACTACACACCACACAACAAAAACACCAACCCAGGAACCAAACCCTGCAACAAACCCCGGTGCCAACTCTGTCCACATATCTATTCAAGGGACACTATCATAGGACCTAATCACATTAGCCACACCATCAGGGGCTTGTTCACCTGCACATCTACCAATGTGATATATGCCATCATGTGCCAGCAATGCCCCTCTGCCATGTACACTGGCCAAACCGGACAGTGTCTACACAAAAGAATAAATGGACACAAATCTGACATTAGGAATCATAACATGCAAAAACCAGTAGGAGAACACTTCAATCTCTCTGGTCACTCAATAACAGACCTAAAAGTGGCAATTCTTCAACAAAAAAACTTCAAAAACAGACTCCAACGTGAAACTGCAGAACTGGAATTAATTTGCAAACTGGACACTATCAGATTAGGCCTGAATAAAGACTGGGAGTGCTTGGGTCATTACAAAACCTAAACCTATTTTCCCCAATACTAATTTCCCCCTACTGTTGACAAGAAGGTGTGAGTAACTGTCTGAAATAGACCACTCTCATTACCACTTCAAAAGTTATCTTTCCTCCCTTGGTATCCTGCTGTTAATGAATTGTCTCATTAGACTGACCTCACACTTGGTAAGGCAACTCCCATCCTTTCATGTATTTATACCTGCTCCTGTATTTTCCACTTCATGCATCTGATCAAGTGGGTTCTAGCCCACGAAAGCTTATGCCCAAATAAATGTGTTAGTCTCTAAGGTGCCACAAGGACTCCTTGTTGTTTTTACAATATGAAGGTTACTTAACTTGTTTGAGTAAAGCCTTTTTAAATTTTGATGCACTTTAATAGTTACAAACTACCTCACAAATCTACCCAGGGTTCAATTTGCCATGAAATCTGCCCTCAAAGTAACATTCTTCTGTGCTCTTTGTGCACTTGGTACAAGATTTTTTTTTTTTTTAACTGAATAGCTAAATTTAGTTTATAAATAAATGGCCTGATTTTCAGAGGTGATAAGTACCCAAATGGTTCTCAGTAAAGTCAATGGAAATTGCTGGATGCTCCACACACCAAAAAAATCAGGCCACTCACTTAGACATTTAAAAAAGGAATTAACTCCTTATTTTATGGATTTATAGCTCCTAATTAAGGACTTTAGATACACATTTTGAAAGTCTTTATCTTGGATCTGTGTGTTCAGGTTTCTTGTTCTCTGAACTGTTCTGCTATCGGCCTCGATCAAGGCAACTACACTAAAGCATCTGCTAAATGAGCTGTAAAAAGTAGATCTCTAAACAGCCTGTTAAAATTGTCCCTCCATGTCCACTGAGGGAGGGGAGCAAAACTAATGCAGCACCCACCCACTCCCCGCACCACATTCTTCCTTAACGTCACCACCAAATCCTTGAGATTGTATACTGTCCTAACCTGCCTCCCAACTTTATATCTTACCATTCACAATTCTAAAAAAAATCTCTGTGCCATCTTTGTAAAGCTTCTGTCCCTGACTACTGAATGTTGGAGTTCAGGAATGTTGCCTCTCTTTTTTTGGTGAGTAAAACACACAAGTAACAAAATCAGTTATATATTAAAAGGAATTTTACTAACCTTGAATCGTTGCCAGTGTACTGTTGCTCATCAGAGCTGGGCTGAGAGCACCGCCTAGCGTCCCTGGATTGAGACTGAGTAAGGCACCTCTGTGATACCAAGAAAACAAGACAGGAGACAGGTCAAGGGAGGTTGTGTTACTATTCAGAGACCATCATACAGAGAAAGAAGGTAGAATTCAAGGGTCTGATTTTTTAAACCTTTCCTGTAGTATTTTAATTTCTCTCATACCACAATGTGGTCTTGGATAAACCCTTCACAGTTGCCTTTCAACACTGTGCTTAACAACAAGCCTGAAGAACAGGCACCCAAAAAGCACAAATTGTAGTGTATTACTGCTGTGAATTACACTCAAAGTGACTTCTTAGGACACTGCAACTCTTTAGAGAGCTATCGGAAGGAAATGAGAATAAAGAGAAACTGAAAGAACTACAAAGCATTTACAGCAATATTTTTTTAGTCACACAGCGTCAACAGAATGATTTCCAATAAATATTCAGGTGTTCTCCATCTCGCTCTCGGTCCAAAGGAACAGAACTGAACATAGGGGAATGAAGGGACTCTAAGATGCCAATTCAATTTAAAGTTAGCAGCATGGGTAGTGTAGTTTAATGGCTACAGCAAGGAAATAGTAGTCAGAGCTCCTTGGCTCTACACCCAGCTCGGCCACTGACTTAATGTATGACTGATCAAGTCACTAAACCTTCCTCATCTATAAAATGGGGATAACATCCCTATAGGGGTGTTGCAGGGCTTAATCCATTAGTATTTGTAAACCCTTTGAGAGGTGTAGGTGAAAGATGCTAAAGTGCAAAACACAGTATTAAAAAATCATGATGAACAGAGCCCAATAATTCTAAGTATTGCTATTTTCTTCATTTATCATCTAAAACGCAAAGACAATCCTTACCCAGCTGCAAACTGTGAGGGTGCCATCAAGCCTGGGTTTAGTCCTGCTGCAGCAGCCATGGCAGCGAGACTTGCATTTGCAGGCAACTGTGCAGCGCCTTGTAGTGCGGCTGCTGCCGCTGTTTGCAACCCTGATGCCGTCACCATCACCTGGCTGGTCCCAAGAGGGGAGGACAAGGGAGTAGAGGTTGTCTGTGTTGTGCTGGTCTCACTGGCACTGGATGCCTCGGATGTGGAGGCTGAGGCAGAAGGGGAAGGACTCAGAGAGGGTGAAGTCACTGCTGAGGAAGCTGGAGGTGCTGTAGAGATCACGGTTGCTGTGTTGTTGGAGGTGGTTTCTGTTGTGCCTGGAAGGAGGATTCCAGTTAGAACAGTGCAAAGCACAGGCATGCCTGAACAGAAACCTCTACCACCTGGACTGGACAGCATAGGAAAGAGGAAGTGAGACAGACATGTCTCTGTGGGACTGAAGGGCACAGTGAATTCAAGAGAGGGGGACTGGTGAATGTGGATCTCAGATCACAACTGTCTCTTCAGGAGGAGGCTGGGTGGCTCAGGTGGATAATGGGAGTGCCTTTTGCTTCCAGGTCACCAGGGGGTGCCGGTCTCAGCAGAGAGGCCAGACTGAACAGCCATGAAAAATGAATTACTCCAACATAGGACTGAGGCACATTGGCAGGGCAGTGTAACGGAAGCTTGCATGGCAGTTGCTCACACTGTCATTTCAGTGGCAAAACAGAGGACTTCACTCTCTAGGACTGTCAGTCCAGAGTCTTCCATCAGCACTGAATTGCTTTTTAATTAAAATGTTTAAAAGGGCAAGGTGAGAGTGAGATGAAAGGAAGGAAATCAGACTGAAGTCAAATTGAGTATCTGGGCAGCGAGTAGGGAAATCCTCTGTATTGTTTCTTTGCACCTGTATACCTAAGCTATATTTGTGAGTTCCCAGAGAATCCTTTGCTCCCCACAAAGCACTCCTTTTGTTCTCTATTTTTCACCTTCAGCTAGGCAGGTTATGGGCATCTGAGAATCCTATACAACATGTCTTACAAGGATACAGCAAATCCAAGAGCCAGTTCTCTACAGAGATTTTAGACTGCAACACAGGAACATAAAAAATCTCAGAAGATTGTTGACCTTAAAATCTTTATCTGTTTGATATGTAGACGCCACCAGTAATCCACTGGACTTCCATGCTATTATCTGAATTGGTTATCCCTGACTGCAGGAGTTTTCTGAAAAACCTGCTGTGCTGATGCAGCTTGGGTTATATCTTACCTGTGACTGACAGACTAGTGACAGCAGCACTAGTTAGAGGGAGCACAGGGTTGACAGTCAGAGTAGTAGCTGCACTGCTTGTCACAAGGCTTGGCGTGGTTGCCACCTAGAGGTTAGAAGAGAACATAACTGTGCAACTCATAAGAACGAAAAGAGTTACCTGACTTGGTTGGGTTCTTATCTCCTCATCCTCAACCGAAGATGAGGATGGGAAATGCTATACACTTTTTAAAATTTCATTCAATTGCTTTAGTGCTTCAACAAGCAGAGTCTGGGACCACGTTAGTGACATTTGCTCCACTCACGGACCTGACAACGAACAGCAGCAAACCCACCACACACATACTGTCCCAATAGCTGAGTGGTGGTTCATCAGGAACTAACCATCAACATGCAGCATCTCAGGATTTTCAAATATCCTCATTTAACAAGAGGCAAGTGTTCAAGGAGACTCTCTCAGAGAGAGGAAACTTAGGGGACCCAAAAAAATCTTTGTACATGCTTTTTCTGATACTTCTCAAGCTCCAATTCACTTCCTCTGATTGAAGGCACTCCACGCACCAATGCATCCTAGCCTAATTTGTCGTATAGGTGTTTTACCGTAGTGTCTTGTTTCACCTTTATCGACCAAATTATCTGAACTTTTGTGTATTTCCTTGGTTTGAAGGACCTCCTTCAGAGCATTCAAATGAAATGAACTGCCTTTACTTCTGGACAACTTAATGGAAGAAAGCTATAAATAAACTGAAGGGAATTCAGAGAAAATCAATCAATGTGATTAATGGGCTGGAGGGATTGATTTATTAGGAAAGACTAAAAATTAAATATCCATATCAAGGACTAGAAGTGTATGTATGTGCAGCCAAGACATGCTAATTGTCTATAAGTATATGAAGCATATATACATCAATGAGGAAAAGTTATCATCAGTTATACCCTCTTGGACAACCCAAAATAAGAATAAGGGATAGCACTAAACAAAAGAAAATGTATGTAAATGATCAGGAAATCTTTCTAATAGGGAAATCTGTAAGATTGATGAATATTCTCTTAAAGGAAGTGATTACGGTCGCTTGACATGTTTAAAACTAGGTTGGAGAAGGATGAACCTGTTAGCATTTTGCTCTAACATACTATGAACAAAAAAAAATCCAGCTAAAGCTGCAGCACATCTCCTCATCAACACAGGCTACTGTGAGCACATCAAACCTGTCCACCATGCTCTACACTGGATTCCTATAGAACACAGAGTCAAGTTCAAGGTCTTGATCCTTATCTTCAAGGCTCTCACTGGCCTGGGCCCAACATATCTACAATAGTGCCTAAAACTCCCAGATGAAAAACCAGGGTTGACACTTCGACTCCTCAGGCATAATGTAACTTTACCCCACAAGGTAAAACTTGTGGTTGCAGGCAACAGAATTTTCTCAAGGGCTTGTCTGAGACTGTGGAATGAACTCCCACAGGAACTAAAACCATCACAAACCTCACCACCTTCTGCTCCAAGTGCAACGTGCACGTCTTCCACCTTGCCTTCTCTAACATAAATACACAGCAACATGTACAAAAACCAGAAGAAAACCCCTTCTAAAACAACTACACTACACACACAATTTCATCCCTGAGGAGAGGATGACAAAAAGAACAAACCACACATGACAGATGTTAGTCATGACATTTAATACACTGCTGGATGGTGCTCAGATACTACAGTGATGAGGGCAGTATGAAATCATATGTAGAATAGACTAGCTAGAGGCTACATGAAATCCACAGACTTCATATTATCAGAAGCACAGCTACCATCTCCAGTTAACAACAGACCTCCCAGAACAATGGTGGCGTGGAGCTCAAGGAACCTTGATGAATGCACTTTGTTTACTTACGTTTTCAGTAAGTTTGTGTTTACCTTAGCCAAATATAAGGTTTAGAATATGAGTTACAAAGATTAGCTAAACTCTTTTTTCACTTTGATATACATTAACCCTGCCCAAAAGGGACAAAAATAGTAGAATCAGGTTTGGGTGACTTAGTCTGCCAACTACTGCCTAAAAACTGATAGGATCTATTGCTGATTCAATGCATTAATGTGACTGGAACAAGATGGAAAGGGTGGAACTGGGTAGCATTTTTTTCCTTTTACAGAAAGGAGTTTGGATGAGTACGCCAATCTGGAAAAGAATTCAAACATGAATTATGATTTCTTAGCATAGGTCCAAAGCAGTAATATAAACTGCATCTTTGTGAGTTGTATTCAGTTAGTTGTGAATTACTTCCAGATCAAGTTAGGAGTTCAGTTTGGGCATTTAAATAATGCATTCACACTGGCTGATTTGTAACATTTACCTTTTGTTTATAGTACACAGTGGGAACCAGTAAATATAGTATTGAAAATGCCAATTAAGTATCTCAGTTACATGTGAACACAAGTCTGCTGCACAGAGCAGATGAAAAATGTGTGTAATTCCCATTATTGCCAGGAGGAGAGGAGTGGCTGATCTTTTCCAATGTGCTGAGCCATCTTCATTTCTTGATTCTTACCAGTGAGGTTGGGCAAGGGAAAATTGCTTTGATGGGAGAGCTGCTGGTTCCACCACTACTGGGTGGGTTGATCCTTTTCTCCTTCTGGCGCCGGTTACAGAACCAAACGCGGATCACCTCCTTCTCCATGTTCAGCTGGTCAGCTATCAGGGTGATCTCCTCCGAGGTAGGCTTTTGGTTCTGAAAAATGAGAAATATTTGAAAATCATGGAAATTACTTTGATGAGTGTTGCATTATGGGTCCAGCATAGCAGGATTCTAAACTAAAGAACTGGAGGAAGGATTTACATATAACTGGAATAGGCCTTCCTGTTTTACCAAAGCAGATGTTGTCAGGAAAGGATTATGCAAAAGTGGGACCTGATGGACCATCCTCCCAATCCCCTAATCTCAGATGGACCCTTCCTTCTTGTTCAGCATCCCCAACACTCAGAACTCCCTTCTTCTCATCCAGCCCCTCCCCAACTAAACAGACCGTTTTTTCTTCCTAGCTGCCAACTCCCAAGTTTGTCATTTTACAGTTCTCGTCCAGCTCCCCAAATGCTCCTTCTTCTAAGTTGCACCCAAAACCTCTTCTGCTTTGTCAGGAGTAAGCCTTCTCCCTGAAATGCCTCCTTACTACACTTTCCCAACATGACTGCTACTGAACATGGATGTTTCCTCTAGCACTTCCTGAGCTAGTTTCTCTTTTGTGTTCAAGCAGACGGGGTGCCACTTACTGCTCCCTGACATGGGGGCTGGTCTGTGCCGGCCCCATCGTTAGTGCGAGATACCTTGGGCCTGCACTAACCTACACCACTTGCCTAGGGACTCTAAGGGACCCTGGGCCAGAGGAGGTCCAGCAAAGGGAAGCTCTGCTATGCACCCGACATGTGCCCTAAACATGTCCTTTCAGAGAGAAGGGAATAACCATAATTTTGGCAAGGCAGAAAGCCAGGGATGAAGCCTGAGACCTTGCAGCAAGGGGAGAGTCTTTTATCACCTCATGGGGAAGGGGGAGGTAAAAAGGGCTAGCATCAGTGATGATCAGATGATCTGCAAGTTGTCTGCACCAAGAGCACAACAAAATGATGTTCAGGAGGCACCTGCAGAGGTGAGACTTGGACTCTAATTTATCCTGCACTTGTGACTACAGTACTTAAATTACCAAAGTTACATATAGTCAACTAAGAGTCTAAACATAAATGATGTTTGGTTCTCTTTCCGCCTTTCCCAAGTACACAGACACTTATTTCCTTTCCTTTTCCCCTTCCTGGTGTGCACAATGTCATGGCTTAATCCACTGCTTGATATCCTTGAGTAAGAAACTAAGGGGAAACAGAGCACCAAGAACCAATGGGACAGCACTTCCATTTTTTAATTTATTAAAATTAGGTGAATACAGATCATTCTGCTTGGTACAATATTTACTATTCCCCTTTCCTTGGTACATACACTTTACTAAGTGGATTGAAAGATTGCCTAAGTATGGCCCTCTCTGAGCCTCTCACAAAACGATACTCTCATGGGGGCTGGGCCTTGAAGGGAAGTCAGGGACCAGACTACTCATGACAGGCTCCTGTAAGGGAGAATAAGCCAATTTAGTTACTTGTAGGTAATTAAATCCCTTGGTGGTTGGTTGGCAGCTAATTAATGAGAACAATAAAGGGTTGGCTCCTAGAGACAGAAAGCTTCATGAGAGCTATTTTCCTCAGAGAGCTCAACAGAGCCAGGGGCCTGGAAGGCATGGTCTGAGGGACAGGGAGCTCCCAAACAGTGGCAGGAAGCCCAACTACATGTTGCCCCAAAAAAGAGGTGCAGTTGACAGATAGCCACAGACCTCTGGCTCTGGGGAAGGATTATTCCCAGATAGCGTCAAGAAGTCTAACTCCAAGGAAAGGAGTTCAGCCGACAGAACTTTGCTGTAGGGGAATGGTGGATCCAGAAGTGGAGTGAAGTTTTGCTTGTATTTTCATTGAGCCTTTGGTTAATAAACAGACCTCTCAGTAGAGGTATTGTTCCCTATGTAAAGCTTCATTGAACTTGTTGATGACATATGGGGAAACTGACGGAGCAACTACAGCACCACACTTGGCCAGTGGAAGCGCTATAGGGCAAGTACACCCTGTGACAGATCTGTTGTAACTGTTTTGCAATACACTTTCACAACTCACTACAGATTTCCCCACCCTTTGACAGGAACAATCTGCCCACAACATACAGATTGATACACCTGCAAATGTATGAACACACAGACCAACACAGCTAAAGATATCAGCAGATGCACACAACAACCAACTTATATTGTGCTTTTCAGTTGAGGATTTTACAAACCTTGTTTTATATCTGAGGAAACAGAGGCAGAGCGATTATATGATTTGCCTAAGGTATCACAGCAAATCTGCGACAGAACATGAGGGATGAGAACTGAAGAGTTCTGACTCCCAGTCCCCCGTTCCAACAACTAGATGACAGACACAGATTGAAGATATACTAATTTAAATATTTAATGTCTATTATGTTTAATATGCATCTTAAATATATTATTTCTTATATTGTATCCATAACAATCATTGCATATCTTACAATGTCTGCTTAGTGAAACTCCTAGCTGCAGAATTCTTTTCACCTTAATGGACATGTTCTTGAGCAAAGCCACTATTCTTCTTTATTACAAATTGGCTGAGTAGAGCAACTGATTCACTGACCTCCAGAAAACTCTTCTCTAAGGCCACACGTATGTTGGTCTCTATGCTGGTGCGTTTCTTCCTCCTACGGTTCAAGCCCTCAATCCCCAGCCCCGGGGAATTCAGGGCACTTGGGCTGGAGAGAGCTGAATCAGATGAGAGATTTTCTGAAAGAGAACAGAAGAGAGCACGTATCAGCAAGAGACTGTCAGTGCACTGCAATCCAATTAAAGGATCCCACACATTCTACCTGTGTAAGATGGCAGAACGTATCCCATATTCATTCCAGACCTGGGTGGGCTCCTTCACAGCAGAGGTATTAACCTGGTATTACCACTTATATCTGCAATTTACAAGCTATGAATAGGGCCCTGTGTCCTTTATGACAAACAAAAAATGGCTGCTCACCTTGTGCAGTAACTGTGGTTCTTCAAGATGTGTCCCCCTCTGGGTGCTCCACTCTTAGGTGTGACAGAGCCTCCCACACCTTTGATTAGAGAGTTCTCATAGCAGCGTCTGTTCGTCCCATGCTTGCGTGACAGTCAGTCTTGTGCCCCATCCCGTCGTTATATAGCACTGCACGGGTGAACTGCCTTCAGTTCCTTCTCTACCATGAAGCCCCATAGCAGAGAGCTCTGAAGCAGATGGAAAGGAGGGCAAGTGGTGGAGCACCTATAGGGGGACACATCTCAAAGAACCACAGTTATTGCACAGGGTGAGTAACCCATTTCTTCTTCTTCTAGTAGTGTCCCTAAGGGTGCACCTCTATAGGTGATTACTGAGCAGTACCATCTAAGGTGGAAGGGGCTTTGGAGTCGAATCCAGTACAGCAGAGAGTACAGTCAAGCCAAATATCATATCGGAGGCAGAGTTGTGGGTGATTGCATAGTGTTCAGAGAATGCATGCACAGAAGCCCAGGTGGCAGCTTTGCATATTTCAATGATCGGTACGTTTTTGAGGAAGGCCATGGAAGTGGCAATGGACCTTGTCAAATGGGTGCATATGAGTGAGAGTGGCTCAATGTTATGAGATCGGTTATAAGAGTCTGAAATCTTCTTGGATGCAGTCTGAAATCCATTTGGAAAGTCTCTGGCTGGAGATTGCAGAACCCTTTGATGTGTGTGCAAAAGATGAATATCTTCTTGGTCTTTCTGAAGAGTTTTGTTCTGTCTAGATAGGAGGTCAGAGCACTTCTGACATACAGGGTATGTAGTATTGCGTCCTGGGGATTCATATGCTGATGGGGTAGAAGTCAGGGAAGTGAGTGGTCTGACTGATGTAAAATGCAGAAGAGATCGTAGGTAAACATTTGGAGTGAGGTCAAAGCATGACCTTTATCCTTAAAAAACACTGTGAATGGGCTGTATGCAGTCGGGGTCCCTAGTTCACCAACCCATTGCGCTGACGTGATGGCTATCAGGAATGCTGTCTTCATAGACAAATGGAGTAGCAAGCAAGAAGCCAGGAGGTTCAAAGGGTGGTCTTGTGAGGCATTTAAGCACCAGGTTGAGGCCCCATATTGGAGGTGGACACTGGACTGGTGGGTAGAGGTTTCCCAGCCCTTTGAGAAACCTTGTTATGGTCAGGTGGATAAAGATGGACTAGCCCCCTATACAGGGGTGAAAGGTCATGATGGCTGCCAGGTGGACTCTTATTGAGCTCATTGACAAACCAAAAATGTTTAGGGCTTAGGTGCAGTCTAGTATATCTGGAAGTGATGCAGTCCATTGGTGAAAGCTGTCTACAGCCACACCAACAGGCAAAAGGAGACCATTTCTGACAATACGTATAGCAAGCAGGTTGTTTCCCGCTGTCTAGTAGCACTCTTTTTACATTGTCTGAACAGGTTGTCTCTACCCCGTGAGCCATCAAATTAACCACGCTTTGAGATGAAGTGTCTTGAGATTGGAGTGAAGACTCCTCCTGTGCTAGTGGGAGAGGGAGGTGGGGAGTGTTGCAAAGAATGATCGGAGGGCAAGGAAGGTAGCTGTAGGAAGTAAGAAAACAACGTTTGCCTGGGCCATGTGGGGGGCTATTAGGATGACTCTGGCCCTGTCTCTCTCTTGGCTATTAGAGGAGTCAGCGGGAATGCACATGGTAGGTTTGACGACCACTGAAGTTGAAAAACATCCCCTAAGGATTGGTGGCCCAATCCGCCTTTGAGCAGAAGTGGGTGCATTTTTTGTTTGCCTCTGTGGCAAAAAGATCTATCTGGGGGGTGCCCCATTGGTGGAATATGTGGGATCTATTTCCCATTCATGGTCTTGGAAGAATTGTCGGCTGAGTGCATCTGCAGTCACATTCTGGATACCTGGGAGACAGGCTGCTGTGACAATAATCTGGGTTTGTATGCAAAGTTTGAGTGCCTCATTATAAAGGGAGGGAGGTCTGGCTCCTCCCAGGCAGCTGATGTAAAACATGCATGATACATTGTCCATCATGATTTTTATGTGCTTTCCTTTTATTAGTGGTAGGAATCAGAGATAAGCATATCTGACTGCCTTGAGTTCCAGGAGACTGATAGGTAGCGTCGTCTCCTGCGACGTCCACTTGCCTTGGATCACCTAAGCGTCTAGATGCACTCCCCAGCCTAGCAGAGAGGCATCTGTCATTATAATGACTGTAGGGGAAGGATATGTGAAAGGAACTCCTGTGCACACGTTGTGATGGTTCTTCCACCAATCAAGGTATTGTTTCACAAAGGCAGGTACACAAAGGAGCATATGTAGACTGTTTGGTGGGCGAATAAGTGGTCCTGAGCCATCCATGGAGGCAGCATATTCTAAGTCAGGCATGCTCTGTCACGAAGGTCATGGCCGCCATGTGGCCCAGTAATTGAATGCAGTTCCTGACCATGGTGTGTGGACTGAGTTGAATCATGTTCGCTATGTTGGAGGGGGCCATGAACCTGTGCTGAGGAAGGTAGGCTCTTGCTGTCACTGAATCGAAATGTGCCCCTGTGAACTCATGGCTCTGTACTGGGGTCAATGTGGATTTATGTATATTCAGTTGTAGACCCAATTGGAGGAAGAGGTCTATGGCCTTGGAAGTTACCCAAGACATCATCTCTATGGAGCAGCTTTTTAGTAACCAATTATCTAGGCAAGGGAATACGAAAATATCTTTCTTGTGGAGTTAGGCTGCTACCACCAACATGATCTTCGAAAAGACCCTGGGGCAGATGACAGATCTAAGGAGGGCACTCAATATTGGAAGTGATTCTGGCCAACAATAAAACGAAGGAATCATTTGTGGGATGGGTAGATAGCAATGGGGAAATACACATCTTGAGTGTCGAGGACTGGAAACCAATCCCCTTCCTCTAGTGAGGGAATTATCCTCTACTGTGGGCATCACCATTTTGAATTTCTACACCTTTACATAGGTGTGGAGTAGTCACAGGTCTAGTATGGGTCTCCAGTCTCCACTCTTTTTTGGTACCAGGAAGTACCTTGAATAAAACCTCTGTGCTGCATGGGGACTGGTTTTATAGCTCCCCAACATAAGAGAACACTTATTTCTTGGCACAGTACACTCTCATGAGTGGGGTCCCTGCAGAGGGATGAGGAATGGGTGTGGTTGGTGGAAGTTCGAAGTGGATTGCGTAATCTGTGGAGACAATCTCCAAGATCCACTTGTCCATAGTGATCAACTCCCAAGACCGCATGAAGTGGTGAAGGCGGTCACCCGGGAGGGGTGGAAGGAGGGGGGCAGGTGCAGTGGGAGTGGATGAGGATGGTAATTCAGACCCTTGACCAACATGTCAAAATTGCTGCTTGAAGATGGACAGGTCCCAAGGCAGAAGGCTGAGAAGCGGATGGTTTCCTTCTCTGGAACCTTTGCCTTCTTTGGTTCATATGCCTTCTAAGGGAGGAGGAATTGGGTTGGGGGGGATCTCTGGGCTGTTTGGGACTTGATGAGTTTGCTCTTGTATGAAGGGGCGTAAATGTCAAGAGAATGCAAAGTCGCTCTGGAATCCTTCAATGTTCGCAGAAACTCATCCATCGATCTGCGAACAATTTAGAACCGTTGAAATGAAGGTCCTCGACTGTGATCTGAACCTCCTTAGGCAAATGAGAGAGCTGGAGCCAGGAGACTTCTCATTACCAATGCTTTAGCCATCAAACAAGCGGTGGTGTCAGCAGCATTGAGGGAGGAATGCAACATTGTTCTGGCCAATAGCTGGCCTTCCGCCATAAACGCTTGAAACTGCTCCCTGTGTTTTGCAGATAGGTGGTCGACAAAGGATGCGAGTTTGATATGGTTATATTTTGCCATCAAGGCCTGATAATTGGCAATTCTGAATTGAAGTGAGGCTGAGTAAGACTTTCTCCCGAATAGGTCCAGATGCTTGCAGCCTTTATTGTGAGGTGTTGATTTCGTGTGGTGCTGCCTAAAGCTTTCATTCACCACATCTACTACCAGGGAGTTAGGTCAGGGGTGGAAAAATGAAAACTCCAAGTGCTTTGCTGGGACATAACGCTTTTTGTCCGTTCTTTTACATGTAGGCGGAATGGACACTGTACTGGTGTGTGCCAAACAATCTTTGCAGGATGTAAAAGCCTCATTAACAGGTAATGCTATACAGGCCACTGACGGTGAATGGAGGATATCGAGCAGCTTATGATGAGGTTCCGTAACCTCCTCAAGTGGAATCTGTAAGGAGTCTGCAAGTCTCTTGATCAGATCCTGGAAGTGTTTAAAATCATCCACCAGGGATGAGGGGAGATATAGCTGCTTCATCCGGGGATGAAGAGGAGATATTGGCTGCACGCGAAACCTCTTCATCAGCGCTAGCCTCTGGCTCCTCAAAAGATTCCTCCTGAGGGTCAGGTCTTCTTGGAGGGAGTAGGTGATGCCAACTGTTCTTGCCCATGGTGGGTAGTACTGGATGTCCTGGAGAACTGTTGACTATAAACAGCCCGAAGTCCCAATATGGCCAAGGAGGAGAAGCATAAGGCATTGGTGGAGGCACCCAAAGGTGCTCATACCAGTAAGGCACTGGTGGTAATCATGGGCCGTGAACAGTTGCAGCTTCAGTCAAAGCCTCTGGAAAGGGACCTCTGAAGGAGTGAGGAAGAGAGCCCTGGACTGACACTTGTCAGACTGAGGTGAGGTCCTCAACAGAAGCCTTTTCCTCTGGTTCACTCAGGAATGATGGAGCGCCTAGAGAAATCTGAGGTGAAATAATCGGTGCCAGGAACACCTCAGGTGATCTGGATGTCCTCGATATCGAGAGCATGTCGGAGATGAGCAGTCTCCGATACAAGCAGGTCCCGAGGAACATGGAACTCCTGCACTACTATGAGGGGCATCAGTACTGAGGCTGACAAGTGTAGTACAGTAGTTGTGGCTGGGGGTGTTGTCGGTGCTGTAGTCTTTGATGGTGCCAAGTGCTTTGTGCACTCTGAGGGAGGCGCAGTTGGAGCCCGAGTGGGCTTCTTCGGTACTGAGGGAGCAGAGGAAGAGCTCTTCTTCCTGCCTTTGTCGGATGCTGGTACCAACAAGGGTGTCTCTGAAACTGAAGCCCTGCTGCCATGCAGGCTAGCTGTGCTCTGGGTACCAGTGGGACCAGGAGTCTCGTTAGTACCTAACTGGAAAGCCGGTGGTGCCAGGGTAGCAACAACCTCGGCTTTTTAGAGGTAGAATCTCTACCAGGCGAACCTGGGGCATGTTCCTTCGAGAGCTTGTGAGAGGAGTCCTGTATCTTCCTCTTGGCATCCTGGAAGTGTGGTGCTCCAAGACAGCAGACTTACCTGGGGACTGGTGTACAGTGGGGGTCCCTTGACCTGCATCAGAGGCTGGACGTAGAGAGCTCCCCATCATAAGGAGGCGAAGCTTAATTTCTCTGTTTTTCCTGGCTCTTGATTTCAATGCCAGGCAAAAGTTATACTTTTGAGTGACGTGCGACTTCGCAAGGCCCCGAATACATCATGAATGTCTGACGCTAACTAGGATCACCTCCTGGCACGATAAACAGCGTTTAAAGCCTGGACAACCAGGCATCGTCATGCAGACAGAAAATGTCTAACCATCTAAAACTTATCTAAATATAGTATAGAAAAGAGATTTTTTTTTTTTTAAGGAAAGGAAATTATTGACTACGATGAAGTAACATTAATATTAACACAACCACTAACTAACAGTAAGGTTGAGGAGATCTGAAGGGACAACTACTAGAGGTCAGTCTCAGGCCAAGGTAATTGAGAAGGAACTGAGGGTGGTTTGCCTGCACAGTGCTATATAACAGGACGGGGCGCAAGATTAATGCACACATAGTCCGAACAGACATTGCTATGAAAAATCTCTGATTGTAGGCACAGTGGGTGCTATTGCACCTAGAGTGGAGCACCTGTAGGTACACTACTTGAAGAAGAACCCCTACATTCCACAGCAAAGTTAATTCATTGAATCTCCATGAAATATCCTTCATTCCCATCCCTCATGCTTCAAACACACATTACTATGGCAGTTAAAATATTCATTGATGTACAATTCATCAGTGATTATTTTCAGCAATAATTCTTAATAATTATGGATTTTTTTCACTATTCCCCACAGCCCAGCTCTATGAGCTTCAGCAGTTGTCTGAACAGCCTAGCACAGAATCTCCTTCCCCTGCTCCACGTGTGTTTGGGAAGGAGGGAACTAGTAGTCAGCTTCAGTGGCTCATCTCAGCTATCAAGGTGTTGTCTGATGCTATATTCGCTAGACCAGGGGTTCTCAACCTCTTTCTTGCTGAGGTCCCCTTCAACATACTATAAAAATGCCAGGGGCCGGAGGGCGGGGAGAGCGCGGGGCTCCAGGGACCCTTGGGCATAGGCATAGTTTTACTTCTATTGGGGGGGGGGGCAAGGGCTGGTGGGGCTCGAGCCAACTCCGCTTGAGTTAAATGCTGGGGCTTGGGGGAAACCGGGTTTTAGCCGTGGGGCTCCACGGCCCCCCTGAAAGGGCTCATGGATGCCCAGGGGGCTGCAGACCCCCGGTTGAGAACCGCTGCTCTAGATAGCCCAGATGGCCATCACACACTTCTGGCTCTCTCCCTCTCTCACTGAAAGCTGGACTTGAGCTCTGGCTCCCTGACCTCCCTACCCGCCTGATTCTACAGAACAGTGAAGGAAGCACTGTAATCCAGTTAATTCCCCATTGTTGGAAAGGGTGCAGGACAAGAGGCAGCTGAAGGCAGGTCAGGTCAGGTCAGCTAGGAAGCAAAATGCTGAAATAATAATAAATAATGAATTCAGCTGCAGAATCATGGAGTTCACAAGCCCCGAGTGAGATGAAAAGGGCAACTCACACCACTCAGAACTACTGTTCTAGGTTCCTTGCAGACTCAGATGGGCATCAATTACATTCAGTTCATGTTTCCAAGATTATCTTTGCAACTATGAGGGCCAGAAACTTTCATTTAAAAAAAAAAAAAAAAGTAAGCTGAAATCCTGGAGTACAATTTTGTAGCAAGTTGCACAATCATGGAATACACAGGGCTCTGGCTGAGATGCTACATCCTTCTATGTACTTCTACTTAGGTTCCAATTAAACTACTGTTGAAGTCAATGGGAGTCTTTCAACTGACTTTAATTGTAGCTGGATAAAATTCTAATGCAGGGGTTCCCAAACTTTTTGCCAGCATGACCCCATTTTAATGAAGTATTTCCTGCCAGGACCCCAAACAACATGGAGGATGCCATTTTCTGCATAGCGTGACCTCACACATCCGGTGTGTGCAAAATCACGCTGCATGGAGGATGCCATTTTGTAGAGCAAATTGGTGTCCTCCACACAGCGTGACCTTGTATGTATGGTGCACATGAAGTCACACTGTACAGCGCATGCCATTTTGTAGAACAAAACAGTGTCCTCTATGCACTGTGACCTTGCATGCAACATAGGTGCGAGGCCATGCTCTGTGGAGCAAAATAGCATAATCTGCACACTCGGGATTGCTGCAACCCCATCTGCTGATGGTGCGACCACATTTGGGGTCACAACCCACAGTTTGGGAACCGCTGCCCTAGGGGCTTGGAGCACCCTCTGAGAAACCTTGGTGTTGGATGCCACAGAACCAGCCAGAAAAACTTTTTGCTGACATTTCTTTTTTCACCAAGCAAAGTGAGGCCCTACATTAAACTGGATGGCATTTTTGTTTGTCTGTAATGCAATAGCTTTTGAATACTGCATTCAATCCATTCCGAAATTTCAAGTAACGTTCTAGGCATGAGTGAGTAGAATTCCATTGATTTTGATGAACATTGGAAAACTAGGAGGAAATGGGGGACAAATGGTTAGAAGACCTCTCAGCTTCAACCAGGTCTGTTATTGTCTACAGATTAAAGAACTAGTTGATGGCAGCCATTAACAACCTCAAACATAACAATGCCCCCATCTCAGCTCTGCTCACTGTCTGAGTTTAAAATGTCAACACCCTGAATGACTTATCTCCCATAGAGAAAGAAAAGGAGAAATAATATTATGTGGTGGATGGGGTGTGTGTGGGGTGTGTGTGTGTGGGGGAGGGGGGGGCACACAGAGCCCCTAGCATGGAGAGAGGGAGAAATGGAGGGGGCACAGAGTCCATGGTATGGGAAGGAGGGTGACACACAGGGAGCTTGTGGAGGGACTGGATGAATCTAGAGAGCTGCTGGTGTATGCAGTGAGCTTGGCCTGCACTAGCTATGAAGTGTGCAACCCTCCTGTAACTACCCAACTGGGAAAGGAATCTAGAGGACAGTTAGAAGTTATATGTATGCGCAAGCGCACACACACACACACGTGCGCACACACACACACACACACACACACAGCATGTGGTGTACACTCTTCCCTCACGCCAGCCAATGATTCCACTGACTGCAGAGCACATATCCAAAAGCTATATGGCAATTGCTTCAAAGGCCTGTTGACCCTTGGAGTGGTTACCAATGCTATTATTACTCTTATCCTTGTGAATTACCTGTCCCAAGAAGAGATAGGGAAGCTTGATGGATTTTGTAACAAGTGACTTAAGGCCCAAACCAAACAGAAGAGTAAAGCAATTTTTCAAAATCCCACTGGATTTGTGGTGGGATTGTGAAGAAGTTCACAGACTCATTCACCTGCATCATTGAGCCACTTTTCCAGAAGTGGCTTTAACTTGCACATGTTTTTAAAGCTGAGGTTCAAGGCTTCAAAGCGAGAGATGGTAGTTTGGCTGAAGTCATTTCCATAGAGTTTGCCCATAGCGAGCCCAACATCACCCTGCACAGAGAGAAAGATAGAGGGATTCATTAACATATGCCAATCCAGATGATGATGATAAAGATTCAGTCTTTCCAAGTCTCTCACTCTTTAATCTGAACTCTTTCCAGGATATCTCAGGTGTCTTTGGATAGGTCTCTACATTATCACGGAGCACCACATCCCACCAAATATTAATTCAAGCATTTACAGCAAACACTATAACTCCTGGGAGCAGAATTGAAGATGTACCTACTTAACCCCAAAAAAGAGAAATTCAAATAAAAGAATTGGGAAATACTAATTATTTCAAGGCAACAATTCAGTGTAACATCCTGGAGATGGTGAGAGGATCAGATCTGTCCATAAACCAAGGTGCTCATCTCAACTTTTACTGGATTTTATATTTTGAGGTTCAAACTGAGCCTCTCCAGCAGATCTGTTTCAGAAGCAGAAGAAAAGTTAAACTGTTCTCAATAATGGTCAACTATTCCATCAACATCACATGTCTGTCCAAAGAGAAGGCAGGAAATTTGCAGCCAGCCAGACCATCATTACCACTACATCTGGAGTTATTACTTTTCCAAACACAGGGTTTTGACTCTGTATCAAGCATTCTGCTTGCACTAGCATTTATACATAAAAGGATCTTAAAGTGTTTTACGCACAGGGGTGGGCTCTTATCAAATTCAATTAAATAGTAGGGAGTCCCATCAGTAATTGGACTGGAGACCTCCAAAGAAAACCTAGTGTGGCCTGATGCCTCAGAAGAAGATGTCTCTATCCTTTTAGTAAGTAGTGAGTTACCGATCTTGCAGGTGGCTCAAGAGCACTATTCTTCAGCAGCTATCATTTTAAAGTTTCATTGGAAAATTTAATTCCTGTTTGTGGTCACTAAAAATCCTTTGGCAGTTTTTGCAAGGGCAAAGGTCCTGCCCATGGTATATACTTTAAACCACCTTAAAGAAAACAGCATGGTATAGGAGTAGTTAATATAGTTTAAATCTACAAAATTTAAAACCCGTTTTACAACAGAGCTGAAAAATCCTTAAAAAAAATAAAAATTAAACAAAAGAGATTGAGGGGGTTGGTTGGGTTGAACACACTGTAGTTTAAAAGTGGTTTAGTTGGATTGTGAACAGTGCTTACTGTATTCTCCTCTAAAGCTAGTCCCACAACCCAGCCTCATACCAACAAACTAAGGGAATGAAGAGTAGCTACTTCCAAGCCAGGGAAAAAGAACAGGCAGTCTGGTAAATTGCACAATGCATGTAAAGGGAAAAAAAAAAAAAAGATACCAATGTGGATTTGAAACGTAGACTAAAACGACTGATGGTTCACCAAGCTACGTGGTCAGAAGAGGAAACCTGTATGAATTGTGAGATGCTACCTCATATGTCCCATAATTCTGTGTATTCTAAAGCCCATTACTGGCTCCCAGAGAGGCAATGTGGATGCTCTAGCAGGGTTTATGCAGCTGAAACCTTGCTATTTCAACCATTTTGGAGATGGCTCTGATCTGTGCTTAGATTGGACAGATTTATTAGGAGGCTTGTGACAGTCCCCTGAACAACTTCCAACTCTGCTATTTATGCTCTTCCTACCAATATTTGCCCTTTGGTTTAACTTAAATAAGGAACGGTTACCTACCTTGTACAGTATCTGGAGTTCTTTGAGATGTGCGTCCATATGGGTGCTCCACTTCAGATGTGCACCCATTTGTGCACTCTTTACTGGTGATTTTCATCAGCAGTGTCTGTGGGTCTGCACCTGTGCCCTAGATATCCTTATGCTATGGTACAAGGATATATGGGGGGTGGACCCACTGCCACTCCTGTTCCTTCTCAACCAAGGAAGTCCAGTGAGAAGAGACTGAGACAGACAGACAGGAAGTAGGGTGGGTAGTGAAGAATCCACAGGGGGGGGACATCTTGAAGAACTCCAGTTACCGCACAAGGTAAGTAACCTCTCCTCCTTCTTTGAATAGAGTCCCTATGGGTACTCCACTTCAGGAGTTCCTTGAGCAGTACCTCAGTTATGGAGGAGGGTGCTGATGAGATAGAATGAGTACAGACTATAGAATGGCATCACTGAAAGCCACATCAGCTCTAGAAGCAGGTACGATAGCATACTGCTGGGAAAACGTGCACTGGAGATCAGAGGACTGCGCTGCAAATGTGAGAAATGCTTTTCTCACATTTGCAGAGCATGCTTTTCGGTAGGGCCACAGAGGCAGACTCAGCCTTGGTGAAACAGGCAAACACTCTAGAAGAGGGACAGGTTCCTGAAGCATTATAACAGGTCAAGTTACATCCCAAAACGTATTTGGACAGTCTTTGCATAGAGATAGGATGCCTCTTCATTCATTCTGTGATCAAGATTAGCTTAAAGGGTTTAGTCTGGTTGAGGTAGAAGGCGAGAGTCTTTCCTACACTGAGTATGGAGGCTTGCTTCTTCTCTTGACGAGTGAGACTTGGGATAAAACACCAATAGGTGAATTTCCTGATTAATGTGGAACTGTGAGTAAAGATTGAAAACCTTTTGGGGAGGGGGAAGTGAAAGACTGCATGGCAGCCAGGTGAACCTTAATCAAGCTCAGCAATAAATGAGTGTTTTTTAAATTTGGAATGTAATCGAGAATGTGGGTCAGGCAGGACTGGAGAGGAGCCTGGAAGCATTTCCACTTCTGCAGACAAGTCGTCTTTGTTGTGGGTTTTCTACTATTAAGCAGTACTGTTTGTACACATCTGGGGAGCAGTCCTGTTCTATACGAGAGCACCATTTAGAAGCCAGGCCTTGAGGTGCATGATGAAGCATGACTCCTGCATGAGGAGATTCGCTGTCCAGGAAGGCAGAGAGAGGTGGTTGCCAAGACACGTAAACCAACTCTGAGAACCACATCTATCACAATCACAATGGTGCTATAAGAATGGCTACTAATGTTTCCTGTTTCAATCTGTTTAGGATCTTGAGAAGTAAAGACGTTGGGAGATAAGTGTATAGCAATACATAAGGCAAAAGGATGACTAGGGCATCTCTCGTTGAGTTGCGTCTGTGCCCTCCCCTTGAAGAGAAACATCGCACTTTGCACTGGATGATGTCATGGAGAGATCTATCTCCGGATGACCCATGGTAAGACATATCCTTTTGAATACCTCATTATTCAGCTCCCACTTGTGGTCGATGTGGATATGGCTACGGAGAGAGTCCACCATTGTGTTCTACAGTCCTGGTAGATAAACCGCTAAGATCTACATGCACTGTGATATGCACCAGTTCCATAGTCCTATGGATTTGGCACATAATGACTGGGATCTTGCTTCTCCCTGTTGACTGATATAGTACCTTGCTGCTCTGTTCAGTATTATTTGTATTGTGTAGCCCCTGATGTGGAGTAGGAAGATTTGGCAACATAGTGAACCGCTCTGAGCTCTAGTATGTTGATATGAAGGATTGGCTCCTGAGAGGTCCATATGCCCATGGTTGCTAAGTTCTAAAAGCGTGGGCCTCAACTTATCAGAGAGGCGTCCATTTGTGATGATCGCTGTGGGCAGAGGCTGCAAGAACAGAACTCTCACACATACTTTTTGTGGCTCCTTCCATCAGTTTAAATAGAACCAAGAACCCTTGAAGGTATGGACACCTGCTTGGATAGACTATGCTTGTTGGGAGATTGTAGACAGTTCTCAGCCACACTTGAAGACATCGGGAGTGTAATCTTGCTAAGGCTATCACAAAGTACAGGATACCAGAGGGCTCAGAAGTTGTAGGCAAGTAGTTGCTGTGGTTTGAAGGCTGGACTTTGGGGCAAACCTATCTGTGTGCAAGTATGCTCTGACAGTGGATGAGTCCAGAGTGGCCCCAATGAAGTCAATGCATTCAGTGGGTGAGTGACGATTTTTCCACATTGAGGCGGAGGCCCAGGGAGTGAACTGAAATAGGAGCTTGCTGGTTGCTTTCTGTATCTCAAGAAATGAATGACCTTTTTAGGAGCCAATTGTTCATGTAGGAAAAGAAGATTATTCCCATCTGGAGAAGATGGGCTGCATCTGTTGAGAGGACTTTGCTAAAGATCCTTAGGGCAGTGGAGAGGCTGAAGGACATGATGCAATACTAGTAGTGGTCCCTGCCCATCACGAAATGTAGGAAAAACCTCTGCAAGGGGCCCATGGCTATGTGAAAATAAGCATCGTGAAGACTGAAGAACAAACCAATCTCCCAGATCCAGGGAGGGAATTGTCCCTGCTAGGGTTACCATTCTGAACAACTGTGCATAGATGAAGGTGTTCAAAGTCCCGAAGTCCAGAACTGGTCTACATCCCTTCTTATTCGGAACGAGGAAGTATCAGTTATACAACCATTTCATGATAAAGTCCAGTGGAACAGGTTCTATCACCCCCATTGTTAGGAGGGACTGGATCTCCTGCCTCAAGAGACACTTGTCAGAAGGGCCCTGAAGAGGGATGGGGAAGGATGGGGCAAGCAGGAAGGAGATGAACTGAATGGAAAAATGTACAGAAATCACCTCCAAGGTCCATCTGTCTGAGGCGATGAGCTCCCAGGAAGGTAGAAAATTGGAAAGATGCCCCTCATAGTGTTGGAGGGGAGATAGACGCAGTGTAGGATCCGGAGCAAGAGACAGTTCATGACCCTAGACCAATGGGTCAAAATAGTTGTTTTGAGGATGTTGCCCACTGGCAAGTCATTGTAGAGGTTGCCCTCTTTCTTAGTGACTCTAGGCTTATTTTTGCCAGGTTGAACTGGTTTCATGAGCTGGTAGTGGACTGGGCGAGAGAGCTGAGCCATCTGTGATACACTGCATTTTTTCTTTGTTGCAGGTGTATAAATGCCCAGAGATCATAGTGTCACCTAGGAGTCTCTAAGTGAATGAAGAGACTCGTTTGTGGCATGACTGAACAACTTGGGCTCCTTGAAGGAGTGGTATTTTTGTACCTCCCTGTGGAGACTTGAGGACTAAAGTCAGGAAGCTCAGTGCATGACTACTGCTATAGTTATGGAAC